TTCGTCACTCTCCAACCAAATTTCACTGAACCAACAGCAAAAGAAGATCAGAACTACGCTTCACATTTGATAAACATTGTCATGAGTTCCCTCCTACTTTTGCTGTTTTGCTTAAACCACGATAAAAAAAAAAGAAAAATCACACTTCCTGCAGAGCTCTCTCTCTCCGTGTACTTCAAGAACAGATTCCCATCTCAAATCTTTCTTCTGCATTGTTCACTTGCTTATTAGGTATCAGTTTACTGTTTGTGTTCAGTGCTGTCAGCTGCTGTTTTGTTGTTGTTGTTGTTTTTTTCAAAAATGGAATCCGACAAGGAAACGTAATTTTTGTTGTTCAATACTGAAGAAATTTAAACTTTTTAAAATTTATGCAGAACTGCAAAACACTTAGCTGTGTACCTAATAAAACCTATGTAACTCTGCTCTGCTTTACTTTAGCAGCATCGGGTAATGTTGGGACACTTACACGTCTGATGAAGTCTCAAAAGTGTCAGTACTGATAAATTATCAAAATTATAAGTATTTCTGACAGAGGCAAAATTTCTCTGATTCAAATCTAATCGAATCAAATCGGGGATCAAATTGAATCAGGACCTTGTGAATCAGAATCGAATAAATTCTACAAATCAGTCCGCACTGTTCTAATCTGGTACTGTCAAACCTTATTGACTACCACCACTTAAACTAAAAATTTAAATACTCCCAGCTAATTGATTCACATGCCAAACAGATGTCATCCCAGATGATTTAAAGAGCTGTATTGTTGCAACAAAAGTGATTCATTTTTCTTTACATTTTTAAGTGCAAGTCATAATCTGGAGCTCACACAAAGACCTTCATTCTTCACTATACATTACAAACTTCTTACTGTATGTTGGTGTAGGTGATGTTGTTGATGGTGTTGTGGCTATGGAAACAGGAAAAAAAAAACAGCAGTTAGATTATAGCATACTTTTTGATATTTCAAATTAATATTTTCAAATGCAGCCACAGAGTCTAATGTACATCATCCTTGCAACATTACATATTATGTCTTTAATATCAAGTGTTTGCTTTAAGGACATGAAGCAGAACACTTAATGTGCCGTGGTTATATATTATCACTGTATAAACTTTGGTCATAAAAGGAAGTTTAAAATTATATTTGAACATTTATAAATTATTAACACAATTTGAACTGTTGAAAGATTTTTTTAGGTTTGTAAGTACAGTGACTACACATCTTTTTGTAATGACATTTACTGCAGAACAATACTTTAAAGAAGGAACAATGAAGCAAGAAGAATGTTCACATACCAGGAGTTGATGGTGGACATGGAGCAATATCTGTGGAGGACAATTATGGTTTTAAACTGTTCATTTTCTAGTCAATGACAAAAGTGATTAACAGCAAAAAAGAAAACCAAAAACACAAATGACAAAGTGACAAAAAAGGAAACAAGAACACAGCATTGTTTCTAACAACAGAAAGTTTACAGTGAAGCATATGTTTAATACATGATCATAATGACCATAACCATAGCTATATGTTGATGAACACATGCTGGTCAGATACATTTATTAAGGTCTTTGGTGAAAGGACTTTTCTCTAGCAACAGCTAGAAGATTTCAGTGCTTACCTGTGATTGGTTCACAGAACTCTCCAGTAGAAGGAAGTCCTTTTATGCACCCACATGTTTGGGAGATGACATCACCACAGGCACCGTATACTCCACACTTATCACATGACCAAGCAAACTGGTCCTCACACCGGCACTGCAGCCCTCCAGTGGAGTTTGGATAGCACCCTTTTTAAGACAACACATACAGTTCATAAGTCATACAGGATCACATGAACACTATTACATATGACTGAGTACAAAAGTCAATTAAGATCAAGTCCTTACATGTGGTGAAGGTCAGGTTTTTCAGTGTGAAAGACTCAGTGATGGTTTGGGTTAGGGAGACATTTCTCACAATGTGTCTGAGTACATCACTGAAATCTGGGGCCACACTGGATGCTGGGATGTGTAATTCAAGGACTATATCAAAGTCCATTGGTGCT